ACTTTGAAAATTAAAGTGGTCTGAAATGAACATCTGTGCATTATAAGAAAAGTGTGCTAAACTCTGAGCATCAGAGCTCAGGCCAGCCTTTACCTGTTCAGATCTCCCCTCCCAAGTGACCAGAGTCAGAGGAATTCCGACTTGCAAAGCAAGCCGAAAGAGACCTCCGACCTCCACAAAACACCCTACGCATCAAATAACAGTATTTGTGAGTAAACAGCGAGGTCTAGCTAGTCTTAGTTTTCAAGAACCATCCTTGACGGAAATAGAGAGCGTAAATAACAAATATACAGTTGTACACAATTACAACACATACGGCTGAATGCAAGAATCCAGTCCCAGATTGAAGAATAATTATGTTTCACTGAAATGACACTTAATACCAGAACCCCTAGGTAAGGCACTTTATATTTGCTAACCTAAAGGTGGCAGCTATAAAAAACACCATACAATCACATTGTAGAAAACAAAAAGATGCATAAAAAGCCAGTTCGTGCAAGCACAACAGCAAGAGAAAAAGAGAAAGTCAAACAGTGAACCAGAAATATTCTCTGCTCTAATATTTTCAGTCAGGACACTTGTAAATCAAAGGCATTTTCATTAAGTTTAAACAGGAGAATACACAAGTCACAACATGAGATGAAGGAAGTCAAATTATTTTTATTATCTTGTTAAAGAGGTGTATACTTGTTATTTACCTAGAATAAAACTGGTTAGAGTTAAAAGAAAAAAAAGAGCAACAACCAAATAAACAAACTCACACACAAGCAACTTCTGCTACTTAATTGCACTGTTTTCACTATTTTCATGTATTCATATTTCTCATTCTTTTCATGTATTATTCATGCTGATGGAACAAGCTTGGTCCTAAGGCTATGAAACCATCAAAATTTAACTCACCTTTGATGTTTAACTTCCATTTTCATTTTTTGTTTTGGTGTTCGGTCCCCATGACGTATTACAGCTATAACACATCTAAGCTCCATCCTGAAATGTTAAGAGTTTTTCTTCAATTCAATGTATTTTCCTACCTTAATTATTACTAAAAAACATGGTGAATCAAGACAGGCGACACAATTATATTTGACATAACTACAGAAGTGACGGAAGGATATGCAAGAATATAAGGTTAACTGAAAATGATGGAAGGTATAAAAAATACTGATTTTAAGACTTGGGTAACTACAGAATAACTATTTGAAGTAGTTTTTAAAACAATTTTGAGGTTTATTTAATGAGAGAGCATGTTTATTAGAAGCGCTTATTAAGTTGGTGCTGAGCAATGATTAGCAGTGAGGGAAGCTGGAAGATGCTACACTGGAAAATCTGCTGTTCTATACTCAGCTGGACTAAGGGTCAGAAACTCTGCCTGCTGGCATAGCAATTGTGATTCCTTCCTTGTTTTCACCACACAAAACAAGTGGTCATAGACGAAAGTGGGCACACCTTTTGAAGAGAGAAAAAAATTCACACACAAGTTATATTAGGACTTGGTGCAATGCAGGGAGAGCTCCTACTCTCTTACATCGTTCCGGAGGTGGTTGGCACAATGGGGATGTCTTCAGCTTCCAGAGGAATTGACCAAGGAATCTGAAACTGGGGAGCAAGTTCTCTCATTATGATATTTCTAGAAGAAGAAAAGGATGGAAAACAAAACAAAATAACCTGTTTAAAGCATGTTAAAGCGTGGTTTACACAATGCATACAGATACGTATACCTTTAACCAATTTCGTTTTAGAATATTAGTTAGTCTCTAGAAATGTATTTTTCTTTTAATTGTATACAATACACTGCTAAAATAACATTTTTAAGCTACTATTAACCTAATTATATTTGCCACAGAAATAACAGAATCATAACATAACTTGCTCAGGATTCACAGGAAACCTAAGTCTATGTAGTGCAATTCCTATACAAATTCCTAGGACCAGAATTGGTCTGGTTAATGTCAATATTCAGATATCTGACTCCATTATCTGACTGAAAGTTCTTGACAATCAGCCAGACGTTCTAGCCAAAGCCCAACTAGCACTTTTAGCAGTAGATTTAGTTCTGGGAAACTTATATAATAAAAACTGGAATAACTCATAAGCTCAGAATAAAATGATTACACCCACACGCCAAAGATTCAGAAACATTTTTACTGTCCTACTGCCTAAGCATTTAATCAAATACGAACAAATATTGAATTTGAGATTAACATTTACCTTGAGAATTTAAAGGTCTGCATTTTAAATTAACTCAAATGTTTCAGAAAGAATTTAGGAATAACAGGAAAGCAGCAGATAAACTTGGAAAATAGCACTTAAGAGTTGCACGCAATACAATGAATAGGCAAAATGCCTGAATTAAGCCAGTAAACTTACCCAAGTATTTTAGCACAATCATCATAGTATTTCATGGAGTTCTTCACAAAACTGAAGCCATTCACATCACAGACGTAGGACTGCCCATTAGCACGCAATAAATCAAAGCCACAAACTGTTTGCTGTGTCAGAAAAATAGTTCCAGTCATTTCTGGCAGAGATCATCTTTGCTCATTAAAAATATTCATCATTATATCACTTTTATTCAATATATTATATCACATATGCCCCCCCACACATATCTTATGCAATCATTTTTCTATTAATTAGTTTTACATCCCAACTTCTCCTCAAGCTTCCCCCATACCTGTAGCAATATCAACACTGCAGTTGACAAAACTACTTCTGCAGACCCTCAGTGCAGGCAATGAGACACTGCCTTTGAGGGCAGCAAGCAAGAAGAGACAAAGCACCAATAAAAATGTTTTTGTCTACATCGTAATTTGATTGGATGCTTTAAATTAAAAACATTTTTAAAAAAGAGTATATTAAACTACACAGACATGGAAAACAACAACAACAAAAATGAAACGTGTCGATACTAAAATAATAATAAACAGGCCCAGCATGAACACCAGATAACAAAAGTTATATAAACTTGGCTACTGCTGTTGTGTTTCGGTAACTCAGAAAGCACTGCCACAGCGTGAGTGTACGATGCATAAAACACACACCCTGCGGCCTGGCAAAGCACAACAGGAATAACAGGAAGCCCGCACAATAAACGCATCCCAGCCAGAACTTTCTAAGACAAACAAAGATTTCTTCCAGATTAAACACAATGCGGATGCAGAAGTTAAACTCTTCTCCCCGCTGGGAGGTTTGCAGCCAGATAACTACCAGCTTTGTACACATAAACACTCAGGAAGTTTCACATGGTAAACAATTAATTAGCACTAAATGTTTGATCAGATAGCTAAGTAATCAGTTTACCTTGAAGGCAAGGCATACTTTCCAGGCAATTAACTTCTCTCTTGCATTCAGGATGACTGGATACCTCACTTCCTTTCCTTCACTGTCTCGCTCCACCTTGCCATCCAGAGCTGGAGATTTCCGGGCTTCGGCATGAGCATAGTCTGGACCTACTGTGTACACCTTTATTAAAAAATAGGAACTCTTGATTCAGTGCAATTAAGCTGCATTACATGCATGCAAGCACCTTATTAAATTTATCTCAACCGTGACAATAAATGCTAAAGATGCAAATTTGTAAACTCTGATTAAAAAGTCTCCAACTAAACAGGCAATAGCAAGTACTGTCCAGTCCCCATCCCTGCTTGACCGGGACCCAGGACGGCTCTTAGCATGAGATGTCATGTATCTCAGCACCTCTTTGCCTCTTATCCGATGGAATAAGGGCCTAGCTTAAGGCACAGAAGCCTCTAAGTTGACAATACCCCTTCCCTAGGCTGCATTTGACTATGTGTGGCTGAATGTAAGGTAATACTGACTCACTTGAAAGTCTAACGAGACTAGATGTGGCTTCTCTCTAGTGTTTTTACCTTTGCCAGAAGATTTCAGGGAGCAATTACAGGTAATTACACTTCAAACAGTTCTCAAAGGCCAAGTCCTCCAGGACACCATGTGGAAGGGACGTGGTGGCAAGCGTCTCACAGCACTACCACAAGGCATGGCAGGCAGTGCCAGCTAGAGCGAACTCTATTTACCACTAGGTTTGATGAATGCCAAGGCGAGATTAGAACAGAGTTTAAAACACGGGTGACAGGAACACCTGCAAGCAGGTCAGCTCGAGTAAGAGGGCAATCTGCCTCATACAAAGTTGACATCAGTCTTTTTACTTGAACAAAATCTACTTTCTCAAGATGCTGAGGTACACAGCTGCCGTTGAGTAACTGCGCTATCCCACTGTTGACAAAGCTGTCCTCACTCACCCAAGTCATTTGCAACTCTTCAGATCATCAGGAAGTTTTATTTTTGGAAGTAGATAATAAAGCTTTTCCACAGGCTTCTGCAACCACAGGTTGACCTACTGCTACATGTTCTGCATGGTGTTGCACATAATTCATTCAAAGAGTACAGCTCATAAAAGCACAGCAATTTGCAGACCACAGAATTTGTCTGACAACATAAACTCAGCTTCCTCCTCGCGCAGGTCCAGGCAGGAGATGGTGACTGCTAAGTGTCAGGTCTCTGACCTTCACTCTTGGCCTAAATATGGTCTCCCATACCCAGGGGCAAACAACAGTCTGACAGGTTTTGTGAGGGACTTGCGATTGATTTCCAATACAAACAGAAATAAAACACTTTGCATAGATAACTGGCTGCATTCCCATTCTGCTATTACTCTACTTTATTGTTATGTTATGATGCCTAATCTTATATCTGTTCAAGTAAATAAGAAAAACATTGAAAATCAGACAATTACGTTTAATGCACTTTTGCTGACTTCGTATAATTTTAATAAGTAACCAGTGTTTATTAAAGAGAAGATAATATTTGGTGAAATATATTTCAAGTACAGGTTTCTTGGCAATTTTCAGAAAAAAAAGTATCAAGGTAGTATCTATTTGTATAGGAGAGTGGGTGGTGTTCTGGCATTAATACGTTGAAAAAATAAATGGAAAACCACAATGTGTCAGGTAACAGGCACACAGCGCTTAACTGCAAAGAAATAAGGAAAGATATTCTGAGTTACAGGCACTGTGTTTTGCTAGAGTAAGAACATTCTCTACTTATAAACTGTACCAAAGCTTTATTAAAATGAATCCTTGACACACAAATACACTTTCACCTTTGAAAGTTGACAAAAGTACTCCTCGAGCACTTGATTGTTCTAAATATAAATCAGAATGCATAGTTGTCATACCTTCACATCAGTGCCATCTGTAGGCATGAATTCCTCATAAATATAGGAGCCTGTTTTTCTCACACTGCTTTCAGGGGAATAAACACTGCTTCGGCTGCCAATCTGAAAGAAATATTTTTCTATTAATAAACTCATAGGCTACTGTCTGAGAGGCTTTTAAAACTCCTCAGAGTACCACTTCAGCGTTGATAGAGCAGATTTCCCGTCCTAGGTGAACCAAGAAGTTTTTTGATGATTCTTGGAAGATTTTTACAGTATTTATCTTGGATAATCTCCGATTATTTTGGAAGATTTACAATATTCTAAAGAGGAGAGAATAGGAAGTACCTGACAATCTACTAAAAGGAACAGAGGCCTATTCATTCTGCAAGTTTTCCTGAAACTCGCTTTCCTGATCTGCACAGGCTGAAGGTGACAACAGCAAAGATGGATCTGCAATTTTTGCTTTTATTTATTTATTTATTTATTTGTGTGATGGGGAGGGCAGAAGAGGTAGAAAGAAAGAGAACAAAGGCTGCAACTTTCCTTTGGAAACCACTTTTGTGTTCTCATGCCAGGAAACTGATTCCACCTCCTCAAGATTTAATTTCACCAGTTTTCCACTTAGCATGACAGAATTTCCATATTTTTAGTACATGATTCTCCTCACCTTCCGAAAGAGCCTCTGGCTTCCACCCCCAGCAGATGTTGGGTAATAAATGTAAACATTGTGGTCCTCAGCACTAACTGGCTTTTCTACAAAAGGCTTTTGGAAAATTTCCCCGTTCACCTCCACATGATCTTCTCCTTCAATCAAACTGCACTCTGAAGAAACAGGACAAACAGAAATGCAATGATGTATTAATGGGGGAAAAAAAAAAAGAAGAGATTAAAGGTGATTTTGGTAGATGAAATAAAGATTACTGTAAATCCTTGGTTGGCTGATTTGTTATTGATTGCACAGAGACTTCCTCATCACATGCTGAACAGGTTGGCTGTGCCATATCTAATGGATATTAAATTAATGCTACATTTCAGGATTGCTGCTGATTACTGCAGAATCGGAGAGCAAATCATCCCCTACAGATGCACAGTCCTGTCTATGAGCATGGGTTGTCTATTTTTGGGGGTGTTGGGGAATCGGGAGGGGATGTTCTGACGGGAGGAGGAGGGACTGTTAGTTTCTTTCTTTCAGGGCCATCTTTCTCAAACCCCAGAGCCACTCCAGGCAGGCAGTGACCGTGCGGCCCGAGGCAACCGCACTTGCAAGCTGCACACAACTCGCTTGCAGAGTGCTATCCACTCCACTGTCACTGTATCACAGACCACTTGGCTACAGGGGAGCTGAGGGCAGCAGCCTCCAGTTGACTTCAAAAACACAAAATGAGCCTTCTTTTCCCCCATTATGCAGAATGTTTGCACCTAAAATTCTCTGCCTCTCCTGAGAGCCACATGTTAATGCTCTAATTATCCATATTCTTATTTCTTACTCTTATTTTTTAACTAGTCATCACAATCTCCTATAGCTGCATAATGTTTGATTTTTAGTAGGAAAAGCTCTTAAGGTTTGATTTAAAGAAAAAAAATAGAAAGTGATACTCAGAGAGAGAGAGAATCTCTGTAGAATCTCTCTGGACTAAATTTCCTTTACATAGTTCCTTGTATTTGAAAGAGAAATAATTCAGTAGTCTGAGTTGCTTTTGACAATCCTACCATTCTATTGCAAGCCAGATGACTAGCTGCTCTCCCTGGTTCGCAGCATATTTCTACATCAGTTTGACTTTGGAGGGCCTCATCCTAGCTGGCTTATGATGGCAATAAGAGAATTTTAACCTCAGACTTCAGAATGACTCTTTTCAAATGCATACTTTAAATACTGGAGAGGAAAAAAATTAAAAAGACAGACTAAAAAATCTCCAAGCCAACTAACTAATTCTCTAGGAAGCAAAGTTTACTTTTCCAGGATGAATCCACTTTTCTCCAATGGAAATCAAAAGATGATATTGACATTCTTGTCATCAGATTTTACCTTGGGGATTGTTTGGATCGCGGTTTAGAATTGCATAACGAGGAAGTAAAATGCCTTCAGCCTTAAGAATACTGTATACTTCTCTCCTAGAAGGAAAAGAACAGAAGTTGCACAGTAAGACTGCAGGGCCTGAAAATATTTGTATTTGCCAGCCCGTGAATGTGTGGAACCAAAGAGGTAGCTAACCCCACGGCACATAAGATCACCTATATACTGTAACACGCCGTTTGCATACGCGACGCTGCAAAAGGCTGTTGCTGGAGAGCTCCACCCTGGCAGTGATCTCACCACTATCAGTCAAATGACCACATGTGCAGTAGCAGTGCTCTCCCTCCACACTTGCAGGGCACAGAACCAGTCTCCCAGCACAGGAGATAAACAAGAAGGGATCCACAGCGATCAGAGCCACCTAAAATAGCAAGTCTGTTCACTGACCATAAAGCTCTACCATTTATTTTGCCTACTATTTTTCGTTAGTATTTGCTAAGTGGGATCACAGCCTCAAAAGAAAATTTGCTTTGTTATAAGATCATGTGGTCATTCAATATCCCTTAACAGTTTTCACTTTCCAGAAAAAGCCTTACATAAGCCACGTGAATTCTTCAGTTATGGAAGGCTCTACAGTGGCAAAGAACAGTTACGGCCCCAAAGGCAAATGTGCTTTTATTTCCTCATCTCGGAGAGCAATTGTTTCATACACTTCCAGTTCAGCTTCTCCTGTCCCCCAGTTAGTACCACCTTGCATAACAACTATCTTAACTGAGGCTGTTCCCTTTCAGCATTCAGCTGCACATCATAGTGCTCGTAAAATGCAACATCAGCACTGCACAAGAAACTGAGCAGTTCAGAGCAGCTCAGTCACCCAGAACCTCTCCTCTACATTTTCATAGGTGGCATCAGGATCTCATGGGTTAAGTCTAAGAGAATTGCATAAAGGGTGATCAAATGCACACCAAAAGTCAAACTAATAAACACTGCCAGGCAACCAAACACTGTGTCGCTTCATGTGAGTGTTTGTTGACAGAGGATTGTACAATCCCAAATCTATGCTACACATTTTCAGACTTTATGATTTTTTATTGGCATGAGACAAAGGTATTCCAAATGTCCATCTTAGTAAATCTTTAGAGCTATCAATATGAAAGCAGTTAAGGCAGTAAAAAAAAATGTATATCTAAGCAGACATCACACAAAATTGTACATACATTAATAAAGCATGAAGTTCACTGTAATTTAAATTACTGTACAATACATTGAAAGTGCTGTTGTGTGATACCAGCAGATTCTCCCAGGCCCTCCCTTACAAGTGCTCTGTCCTTGATGTCAGGGTGATTATCAGCCCTTACCTGTCTTGTATGTGATACTGCATATTCAAGTCATTGATTACAAATGGATTCCTGAGTTTTGCGTAGGCAACTGCTTTGTCCAGTGGAAAACCTGAAACAGTTATTGAGGAAGGTACATTACAACCACAGGACACAACACTAGTTTAGTTCCCTGATTTTCAAACCTTAAGAGTATAATCAGACGTGTGGTATTGGGAGGATGCTCCCTCCCTCAATAAAAGGAACATAATGTGAGCTTGAGACAAACATGAAACTGCAGGGCAGTTTCAGTGTATATTAGCAGAAACAGTGCTCCTGTCTCCCACTTCCTCCTCCTCATTCCACGTTCCCTGGTGCCACAACTAGGCTTTTTTGTTGCCTTTGCCTGAAAATGTGGTTTTTAACCTCAGCGCACTCACCTCTTGCTCCATGAAGAGTCCCACAAAAAAAAAAAAGTTTTAAGGAGAGTAGCTGAGATGCAGGAACGTGCAGCTAGAGATACCACACACCCACTGCGAGCGCAGCCAGCTGCTGCATTTGGTCCCAGTTGGTATTAGAACAACAGTGCTCACCATTCCACTGGCATCCCAAGTACTTACAAAGGGAACAGCTATTTTAAATGTCATGCCAGAAGAGAACTTTCTCACATAACAAAAATAGCATCATTTCAAGAGGTGAACTCTGTAAGTCAGTTGTATTACATTAAATGGGGGCCCTGCTCCCTAGAAAAATCCAAAAGAACTACAAGGCAAAACAATTTTTAAAAGTATTTATTACAAAGAAATATTTACTCGTTGAAAATATTTATTAATAAAAGACCCACCTTTAGAATGAAAGGAAATGAGACAGTCACATGCCGGCCAGTTTTCTACTGGCTCGTTCAAAATGACATCCTCTTCAAATATTACAACAGTTATGTACTTAAACATGGAGAGGCGTTCCAGAATTTCCTTCATGGGTTTGGACTTGGATTTCTTAGCCATTGAACAAATCCCAACCAAAATTTGTCTTTCTGGAGGCTGAAGAGGGGAAGAAAAAAAAGCTATTATTAAAATTATCAAGTCTTCTCAGGATGCAACAGTGCTTTAGCAGCATAATACTAGTGCTGACACATCCTGCTTAAATCCACATTGCTCATTAAAAGCTCAATTAGAGGTGGTAAATTGCTAGCAAGCACCACAGCACGGGATAGTAGCATTTTGCCCTGTGTTCTGATGAAACACGCTTCAAGACATTAAGTTGTTCAACAGCACTGTACTGCTTTAAAGGCTGTTTGGGAGCATCACAACCAGAAACAAATGTATGGGAGCAAGAACCGAGTCAGCAATGCTGCACCAGAGTGGGATCACGCCTGTGGCTTACTGCAAAAGTAACCTGCAATTCATAATTTAATCTTTCTAAATACACTGGCCACAGGGCCTCTCCGTTTATAACCTTTTACTAGCAAGCAGATGATGAAAATGAAAGCTAATCAAATGGAAGATACTCCTGTAGACTGTTGGGGGTTATTCTGGTTATAGCTAGTTTCACTTGCCTCCTGAATGGTCACCAGGCGCTTCCACCTTACAAGCCTTTAACGCTGTTAGTTGCCCCAGTCACAGGAAGCGTGACAGCTAACCTGTCACATCTGTTCAAAAAGAAACAAGAACTCCACAAACACCCTTCACAGCACTGCTCTCTTCAACACTGCCAGCTACTGCTTCTTGTTCAAAGACACTGACTGCGTTCAACTGCCTGAGCTCCTAATTTCCTAGTAGGTGCTTGAATTCCTATTAATCACAGTCAAGTGCTTGATTAACATTTCATTTAAATTTTAGACATGCTTGCAACTGGAAAATTCAATTTGCCCATTCCTTAGAGTGAAAAGTTACAGTAGCACAGCATGACTCATGCAGAATAAAACCAAGAGCTTCAGCTTTAAGCTACAAAGTGGCAAGTACAGTGTTAAATACAATTCACAACACTCTGCAAACAAACTAGGGTATAACTTAACATGGCATACACTTTCTAGAGAATAAGATAAGAAAGAAAGAATAAAAACATGTCATATCCTCATGAAAACAACAAGAAGATTATAAGATGAAAACAGAGATCTTAAGAATCGGTCCAAGCTGAAAATCAAAGGTAAATCCAAAGCAGCTGACAATATGCATTGAGGATAAACTCTCCACCATTTTTTTGCTAATTATCCAAATAGAGCTTATGTGCTGAAATTTAGTTCCAGAAGCCAAATGAAGTCTACAGAGCTGGCACAAGCCCTCAAACTGTCCTCAAAATCTGCATCAATGTCAAACACATCTATTTCCAGGTTCGAGGTATACTTATATATATGTATATGTATTTTTAAGGGTGCTGCTTTTCCAAATGTAACTGACAGGGCATTATCTTAATATGTAAGACACTTCCAATTTTGGTCTAATTCTGAAACAGTGATCTAGGAGAGCCGATGTCACGTCAAAGGTAAAATAGCACCAGACAACACACAGGATAAAATCCCAGCGGAACACAGCGAGTGCCTGCCCGCCCCTCGGGTACCTACAGAGTCGTACTCCTCCTCCTCCTCCTCCGCATGGCCGTAGAACTGGTCGTAATCCGCCGACCTGGCCGAGTCCAGCAACTCCTCGCTGTCTTCTCCCCCCACGAAGAACCTGGGCGGATCGTTCTCGGTGGCGCTCACGGACATGACTGCGAGCGCTGCAGGGATGCAGGTGGCAGCCGAGGTCCCGGGCACATTCCCGGCGGCCGGGGAAGCCGCGGGCCCCGCGCTGCGACGCTCCGGTGCCGACGCTGCCCGCCGGGCCTCCCTCGGCGGCTATCAGCTCTCCATGGCGCGCGCCCGGAGACCGGCCGCTACCCGGGCCCTGCGTCTTATCGGCGGCTTCTCACCCTAAAGGCAAACACCACAGCAACATGAAGCCACATAAAAAAAAAAAAAAAAGAAAGAAAAAAAAAGTTTCTTTTTTTAATTTTAAAAAGGGCATCTGCATATAAATATATCTCTTATATTGGACACAGTGGTCAAAGCAAAGCATCAGAACCACAACCCTGCAGACTAAACAATCTGCATTTCTACAGGTACGCAGGGAAACAGGCGAAGCAATCCTGAGATACTGCAAGCTGCTGATGCTAGACATTCTTAAAATACCCAGCACAGCTCTGCTGAGCAAAAAGCACCAAATGCATTCCGCCCGGCTTGGGAAAGGTGAAGCACAGAGGATATCTTTTACACCAAGATAAAGGAACAGAAAAATTTCCTCTGATATTCTGAGATATTTAAATCTCTGTTTCTGACAGCTGTTTTTCCTATAGTTTCCTGCTAAAATGAGCAATGAAAAATAACTAGACAAAAATACTGAAATCAATCATATAAAGCTAGCACTGAGGCTATTTAAGAAAACTATTCTTTCAAAGCCAGAAGAAAATTCTGTTCTGAAAGCAAAAGGTACACAAGCAACACCAACTCGATGTCAGGTGCTTATTTAGCCCAATTAAGTGTTGCTTTATTTTCACTGTGAAAAAATATTTACAGAAGGACCCATTAGCACCGCCTTCGCTCAAAACTACTTCCAAGCACCAACTTCCAATGCCACAGTGAAACAGAGACATATGAACCAGTCACCTCAAAATAAAGACTTGGCCCAGCCAGCTGTATATAGAAACAATGGGCCTTGATGCTCAGGGCTCTGGTGTATTAACGAGACAACTGTTGTTTTAGAAATGGTGCCCGGTATTATCCTGCTAATTATAACTTGTCAGGATGGGGAATTTTAACAAGCAGCCATCTCTGAAAGGCATTTAAAGGCAGGCAAGTGCGGGGCAGCCACTTGCTGCACTTTGCCCTGCTGCTCCTTAAGCAGCAATTTTCAAGCAATGAGAAAAATTATTACAACGGGGAAATGTTCTAAATTAATTATAGGGGCAAGAACAAAAATCAGCTAGATTGTTTATTAGTCAGATCATTATGCAAGTGCCATTGGACAGCGATGTCTCAGCAGAACTGAGCTCATCTTTAAATATCTGCCAAAATAACCCAGAGTGTTCAATAAACCAAGTGAAGCAATAGGAAATTTCCAGTGGCAATTGGCCATTCTGCTGAAAGAGGGTGGCAGACAGAGCAAAAGGTACCCAGAGAGGATTGGGCGTAACTGAGAGCAGGAGAGATTAAGCATGGATAAACAGCACAGCTGCTTCGGATTCAGAAAGGCATTTGTTCCCATGTGAGAGTTAGAAATCAGGTATTGAGAGAATCCCACTCACAAAAAGAAGGCGAAGAAAGCAAGCTAGAAAACAAGCTGTCCAAATCCTGCTTCAAGTAGGACTCAGCAAGGCAGAGGTTTCTGACAGCGCATGCTGGCAACTAATGCAGGGTGTTGAAATGGTAAGAAAGATAAAAAACTGGCAGAGCCTGAAGAATTGGATCCAAGCTTAAGAAAAATGAAAATAAAGTTTAACAGTTCCTATCAAGACGGTTTGCCTCCCTTCCAAATTCTGTAAATACTCTCATATTACAATACTCTTATAATTAAATGTCCAGCGAGTTCCTCACCAGACCATTAATAATAATATAAAAATCATTCTCAGTTTAGTTAAGAGAAACTGAGGGAGGTGCTGCAATATTTTACCGCTATTCCTTAAGAATAAGGGAGACAACAGAGAATAAAAGCAGAGCTTTGGGAAGGCTACAAACTGCAATGCACTATTGCACCACACACAGCAGGAAATTGTCACTTCCTCTTTAGAAAAAAAGGGAGAATGTGAAGAAAAGGGTAAAAGATTGAGGCAGGACAAGCCTACAGAATCACTAGCAATGGAGAGGGACAAGAGTGTGTGATTGTTCATCATCTCTTCCAGTATTTTGCCTGGGGGCAAAGACTAGCAGTTGGAGGCAACAGAAAGAGCAGAGCTTTTCTCCCCCTCACAACAGACATAATTAAATGTTTTGGAAATGCAGGTAGCTCTGATTCTCTAAACACCTATGAGTTCAAAAGTGAGGTGGCAAATCCATGGCTACCAGCTCTGACACCATCTCTAGGAGCAGCCAAGGTGGAGACTATTCTGGCATGACAAGGAGAACAGGCCAGGAGCTCTTCCCTACACAGTGTTCTCGACTAGTCTGGTCTTTGGTCTGACTTCAGAACAACCTCTCTCGAGCAGCTCTTAAACTATGTACTGTAGCTATACTGATGTAGGGACTCACCCCAAAGATAAGGTCCAGAACATAAAACTTCTCCAAACCAGAAGTTAAGCACTGGACCTAGCTATCCCTCTGCATGAGAGACAGTCAGGATGCAAAAGGGATGGGTAGAGAGGCAACATGTTTCCTACACCTTCCACGCTGTCTCCTGATGATTTCTCCAGCACAAGCTTTCACACACCCAAACTCTTGAACAGAAAATGAAAACAAAAGTCTTCAGTTCTTCAAACTGAGGGTTTTCTTTTAAAGAGGAAAAAGCAACCACTTAAAGCAGATAAGCTGCAGGTCATCAAAAGGGGCTTGCTTGCCTTCCTCCCCGTTAGTTCTCCTGCAGTACCTTTGGTGAAAGCAGATCTAGCAAGAGGAGCATCGAAAACAGACTTGGAGAAGCCACCTTTGTGTTCAGCAGATTATTTTCCATGGAATAGTTGCAAGGCATGCCCCTATCTTAAGACACTGCTGGAGGAATTCCTCCTTTGCGGGTTTCTTAGGTCAGTTGACAATATTCCCAAGAAATCTGCTTGAAAAGCAAGCACTCTCTTCTTGAGCTCCTGCTTCCCAGCTGCCGATGAGCCCCTCTAGCTCCTTGAGGAAGAGGGTACATTCAGTGTCACTCCTGGCAAGCCTGACAAACCAGTTTGTAGGAAAACACTCATTTTTTGTAGGAAAAACACTCGTATATTTTGTTTGGAAAACCATCCTCAGCGTATCCCAGAGAAAAAGCATAAGCAACATGCCAAGAGAGGTCTTCCATGGCTCCAGCTGCTGCTGGGGAGCTTTCTTAGCATTAGAAAAAAGCCTTTTTCATACCTTTGAAAACACTAAGGGTAGAAATACTTTAGAAATACCCTTAGAAATATCTAAGGGCAGCTGCATAAAAGCCAGCTCAGAGTACAGACTTGCTCAGCTCACCACACATCAGATTATGGTTATTTGTAATTTATTCTCCTGTAAGGGGGGGGGGGGGGGGAAATAGTGTAAGGATTAGGAATGAAATGACAGAAATCTTGAGATTAACTCATTTCATAAATCAACCCTCTATTCCCTATTCTGGCCCCCGGATTTTTCCATTAACAAAAATAAGATCAAAAATACAGGATCAAGAAAAGGCATCGACCCTTTTGTAATCTTGTAAACTGCTACTGCTTGGACAAGTTGAATTGCCTATGAATGGGCATTCTGAGAGCTGATCATCACCAGTTTACCTATCTGACAGCAAATGCTATAAGTTACTCTCATTAGCACAAATTTGTGTCATGATAGAAATGACTAAGTTCTTTATTTTCAGAATAAATGCTTTTAGAAATAAGAATAAAGACCCTTCCCCTCCAAATGCTTGGGCTACTAAGAATTTTAATGAATCCACTTCTTTCTTTGGGCCACAGAGAGAGATCAAGGAAAGGGATATGGAAAGAGAACCTGAAAATAAAGGACTGTAACTGCAGTAAATAATTTATAGAAGTCTTCTAAAACATCCACCGTAACCTGAGGTGAATAGAAAATGCAGCAGCCAACGTGAGAGAGAGAGGTTGTCATTGCACTGATAGGATGATATAGTGATGATAGTTCCTAACAGAGTGCATCTTAAGCAGAATCCCCTCTCCTCGCAGCAAGGAAGCTCCTGTGTTTCTCTATCAAGAAGAGGGCAGCAGCAGCAGAATAGAGGCAGAGATGCTCCATGTTATATCCTCCCACAGCCGGTGCAGGAGCATAAGCCTAATCAGAGAGTGAAGATTAAAAGCTTACACGTGTAGGCCAGCCCGAGAGGGCTGCAAAGCAAGGCCAAAGCCAAAGCTTTCTGCTGGAACAAACAGCAGTGCGGCCCCAGCACGGAGAGCGAGAAGAGCCAGGCAACAGCCTCCTCCCGTGCAACAACCTTTCAAGGTAACACAAATTACATGATGCTCCCTTTCAACCTCTGCTGTTACGCAAGGGCTTTTTATTACAGCTCAGATTTAAAATCTCTTATTTTTGACACAATCACAATTGAGCAGGGCCATTTCTTTAAAAGAAATTTCAATCAAACATACAGCTGGGTCATTCTATGTGTCCTAAAATCTTCTCACCATATCACAAACATTTGGGCAAAAATTATATAGGAATTTTCTACAGACTTTCTCTAACAGAACCATTCTCTCCTTCCATACAGCAACTCTTAAAGAGGTTTCATCGACAGAGAAGCAGTCCCTACTAAATGTTTCTTCCAGACATTTTCCTGCCCCTTCTCCGCGCGTTACGGCAGCTCAGGAATCCAGGCTTGGTATTTCCCATATTTACTTAGCCTATTAAAATTTGCATTCCAGTAGCTGTCAGCAACAAATCAGCCCGACACAGGAGCAACAATATGAACAGTCATGTCCAAAGGGTTCCAAGTTTTGGCAGCTCTGTTATGAAACACTGATAAAAACCTCACTTCTGTAAAACACGGCAAGCTTGCCTCCAGCTTTTCTTTTGTCTAGGATAGCTAGCTAAAGAGCAGGTTATCTCTGCTGCGCTCTTATGAAAAGTAATGGACCAAAACTAGAGTAAAAGTGTTTCTCATTTGTAATCTCAAC